AAATTTAAAAATACAAAACGTGCATTTTTTGGGTTTTTCCCATATCTTTACCACCCCCCCCATGAACAAAAACGAAACTCTTTCAAGGGACACTCTGTCACCCTCCAGACGAGGACTGAATGGTTTTAACCACAGCAGAATATGCTGCCTCAGGCCTTCTAGGAAGGAGAGATGAAAAGCAAGCAAGATGAAGCCTCTGACTTTACCCCTCCCTTCCCAGATTTGGTAGACACCCCTGCCCATCCTGAGTTGTTCCCTAAGTGAGCTGCCCCTGGGGTAGGAGCACTGTGGTCCCCCCTGCCCATCATGACCTTTTTATTTTCCTTGCCACTTTCTGAGTCCATGTATGAACCCAGGAATTCTCCCCTTCTTTCTCTAGTCACAAGCAGCCTTTCCCATGGATTTGCCATTTGCGCAGTGTTTTAAATATTTTTGTACATTTATCCCGATCTGCATACCTGACTATCATTTCTTGAGAGCAAATTCCCTGTGTTGTTTCTGTAACCGTCTTCCCCCAGGCGCCTAGCACATACCCGGTACTGAGAGGATGCTACTGAGATCCGTTTTGGTTGATGTGTTGACAGACCAATCTTCCTGCCACAGTCATAATTTTAAGAGTAGATAGTAAATAATCTCCGTAGATTATTGAAGAAAAACAACTGAGATCATCTAATTTCCTTTCCTATCAGGTCACAAATCCTAAACCCAAACTAGCTTGCCCTACCTCTTTGAGGTAATGATATGTTGTTGTTTAACCTTCATAAATTAATGGGATGTGAGCTAGTGAGGGTTTGCTATTGATTGCCTTTGAGGTGCTTTTCTTGTGTGTATCACTCTCATTTCAGAAACTGCTCTCTTGTAAGTTTGACATGACTGATCAAAATCCACTTTCCCTGTTGACCGCTTCCCTCTTTGTGGGATCTGTTAACAAGGAGATAATTAAATGTAAACATGAGTCACAAGCTTTTCCTCCTCTGAGATGAAATACACGTGAACAACAAGGAAGTAACAGAGAGGGAGGGGGAGAGAGCAGGAGCGGGATCTAATCATCCCTTCCTTCAAGGGTTCACTACAAATTCATCAGAATGGGAAGGGCCCTCCAGGTAGCCATGCTGCCCTTTGTGTGGGGCTGAGCTAAGGTGGCACTCAAGAACTGAGTGGTGGGTCAGTCCGCTTTTCCCAGGAGCTGGGGAGCCTAGGTGGACATCACACAGGTCCCAGGAGAGAACCCTGCAACAAAGAGGGGAGACTTGTTTCCGGCAGAGGTGTACCTAGACACCCCAGGAAACCAGCCGTTTAGAGCTCAGAGAGCGCTGAAGCTTCTTACTAAAACAAGCACAAAGTCAAAAGAGTAAGCTCCCAACAGAAAAATACAAACCAATCACACTGTGAATGTGTTACCCAGAAATTAATAGTGCAATGGAAAAGATGGGTGGCTTTTGCTCTAACTTGTGACTTTCTGTTAATGTTTCTAACTAGCGACATATTTTCCCTTTCCCAAATGTTAGTACGTCCAAAGCTGGATGACTGCGACTTTTCCCCAGTAGCTGTGTATCCTAAGCACACTGTGTCACGAAGACTGATTCAAAGACTTGACTTCTGATGCTGCCTGACAGGTGATGGCTACGGGCCGGCCATCGAGATGGACTGCTGTCTGGCAGTTCCCTTAGTCATCAGTTCTCAGAGAATTAATGAGCGCCATTCCTCCCAAGAATAGAAACCAAGGTCAAGGCCTCTTCCTTGTCCTGTGATGCCATTAGCATTGAACAGAAAGCTCTCGGGTCACAGGCTCTGCAGACCTGGTTACCCAGCAAATGGAACAGCGTCTTGTTCCCAGAGAGGCTCCTCAGCGGGCACACCCCTTGTCAAAGGCTTGTCATCCATGGATGTTGAATAGCCGTACACATGCAAGGACACCTCACAGGAGGGGTGAGCTGCTTCAGCTGCCAAGAGCTCCAGGTGCTATTCCGATAAAGCCAACGCCTGTAGCAAACAGTGGGCGCCAGGCTAGGTCAGGTGCCCGGGATTACTGAACACTCATTTCTAAGCCACGCGTCCCCTTAGATTTTATGGAAGCCACTCAGTCCTTCCATGGGGCTACCCAAGAATTTGTTCTCATTTTCATTCTCTTCATTTGGCTTTTATTCCTTTAGCTTTCATTCCAAGGACTCTAAGAAAGTGACAATGGCCCAGAACTGAGAGTCTGATGAGAAGCAAGGGACTGTGACAGTCCTGAAATCTAGAGCAGCCTGCTCTTGCAGTCTCTTCAGGGCCCTTCCTTTGCTCCTCGGAGTTCAAATTGCTCTCCTCCTCACACGTATCAGAAGAGAAGGGAGTAAGCTGAGGTCTGAAGCCAGGGCAGGGATTCACACACTGGCTCTCACACTTATTTGTTTTCTTAACAGAAAAATAAATGTGACTATTGTATTTTTACAGCTACTTCCCAATACTGTTATAAAGATTCAAAATAAGTGCCTAGCACAATGCCTGAAAATTAACAAAGCATAGCCTATTATTGCTTTTATTGTTGTTTTTATTGTTGTTATTGAGCATGCAGTTTTGTGTGTGTGTTGTGTGTCTGTCTATGTGTGTGCGAGAGAGACATTCAGAGAGAGGCTGCTGGAACATTTGGGGTGTTGTGCCCATTATATTTCAGATGATCTCCAGTAATGAGAGCAGAGGGAATGAGTCATCCAAATGTCATTTGTGTTCTGAAGTATATTTTAAATTTTCATCTCGAATGCCAGTGTTCCTAATACCCAAATAAATTGCTGTAAGCAAGAAACAACAGAAAACTAACCGGGATCAGAAGACCCTTCAGCTCTCCTTTCCTGTCCTCACAGCGAGCCAGGTTCCAAGACTCCCCTCCTCACATCGGAACCCCCGGGGCAGTGGATTGGGTCCCAGATGAAAGCCCCAGGTACTCCCAAAGCAAGTGGCAGTTTAGAGATCAGAGACTGCAAAGCTGAGAGCCACAGAGGGGCGCCCTCACTAAGGGCCGTGATTTGCGATCTGCAGTCTGAGTCCTGGACTGCAAGGCCCGTAGCCCCGTGGGATCCTGGTGAATTGCTAACCACTGTGTGCCTTCACTTCCCCTACCGGGATCTTTGATGCCATCAGGGACCTTGTGTGATTTGTTGAGGGCTATTTTATATATTTTACAATAGGTAGAATAATACGTACACATCTGTCACATAACACAGTGCATGCTTACGTAAGTATAAACCATAAGGAGCAGAAAACTTAGATGATAGCTGATAATTAAGGAATCATGCTATGTTGATTTCCTGTCGAGTAAGGAACTCTTACTTACACCTTAGTATTTTCCTACAAAGACCTATAACATTTTTTTATGTGAATTCAGAAAAAGACTTTGGCTCCACCCAGTGGAGCCCCCACCAAATCCATCTCTCTATCTAAACTAAGCTGTTCTCCTGTCTGATACGCATGTGACAGCGCTCAGTGTGGTCCTACAACAAGTATCTCCCTTTAGTTCCAGAGGTAGTATAGGTTTTCCCCCCATGGAAAGAAACAAGTTGGTACCGATACATGAGTACACACACGTACTCATCAGTAGCAGGGTCAGAAATATTTCAGAGATAATTAAAACATTAATGCTTATAGGAAACAAACAATGTGTTTGAGCTTCCTGTGTCACTTCAGGGACACAGGCTCGGCCAATATGCTACCTATCACCTCTTCCAGTAGAAGAGGGAACGAGATGCTGGTTAATTAACTCACTGCCTGTCTGTCCTTATCATGCTTATGAGCAGATGCTCTGCCTTTTACTGTAAAACATGCCCAAAAAATGGAGCATTCAAGCAGGAGACAGCCTTGGAGCATATGAATGGCAGGCTGTCTCTGTCCCCCATCTGCAGATTAGATCAGGGTCTGACACCACAAAGTGAGCAATGACAGAGCCACTCACTGATTGTGTGTCTCATGCTGGCTATGTGGAAGGGAGAAAGCAAAGGGAACAGGTTCCTGGACTGTAAGCTCTTTGGGACAATTTACAGGGACACTGTGTACGCTGGATATCTGACCGCAGAAATAGCTGCCTTGGTAGGCACTCAGCTGTGCACCTTTAGTTGAAGTCAGCCTCGGAGTTTCCAGCTGACTGGCTCTTCCTACCCATATAAATAAATAATAAAAAGAAAACAAATGTTCATTGTTTTAGCATCATGTTCCATCAATGCTTAAATGTTTATATTTTAATGTCTCAGTAATTGGGTGTATCATACAATCAATGGAGCATCACTGTTTAGGCAACAGAGTTATGGGGTGTGTTTTTTTCTTGTATTTAAAATAAAGGTGTATCTTACCATCAGTAGCATCTCAGATTTGGTAAAATCCATGATGAACCAGACGTCAGCAAGATCTCAGGTCCACATGACAGCGTCAGTGAGGAAGAAGAGGCAGTAATTAAATTGAGTCCCCATTTCACGGGCACCTTTTAGAGTGGAGAGTGGCTGTAGTTTTTTCCCTGCACAGCCACCACCCGATCAGCACATCTTTCTTCCTTTTCTTTTTTTCCTCCTCTAAGTGAAACAGGAAGGGATAGAAATTAAATTCCTGTCCTGTAGTTTTTCTTTCTGGAACTATACTGCTCTCTGTGAAGAGAAGCTCTTGAGCCCATCATGGTTCTCCCACTCACCCATGTGCTGGGATCCCCCAGGACCTTCTAAGGCAGCTGTGCTCCCCAGCTCCTGCCTGGACCCCTGGAGTCAGATGGCCTGAGACGGGGCCCACATAGCTGTGCAGTTAACACCCGGATGACTGATGTGCCCTCAAGTCTGAGGAGCTCTGGCCTTTGTATTGGAATGCTGGTCTCAGTAGTGTACACAGCACCAGAGCTAATAGTAATGATCACGGTTTCAGAAGGCAGATGTGCTGACCAGGGAAAGAATTCTGCCATTGCTTTGTTTCCTTGGGGCTGGGACTGAAAGCTAGAACGTGCATTGGTGATGTCCCTGATACTATTTCTGTTGGGGTTTTTTTAGCTGTGCCCCATAAAATCGGACGCATCATTGATGGGAGTCCTGCAGATCGCTGTGCCAAACTAAAAGTGGGAGACCGGATCTTAGCGGTGAACGGCCAGCCTATCATCAGCATGCCTCACGCTGACATCGTGAAGCTCATCAAGGATGCAGGTCTTAGTGTCACCCTTCGCATCATTCCTCAGGAGGGTGAGTGCTGAGGTGGCCTTGCAGGGAGACAAGGACGCAGTCGCTGGGGGCTCCTCACAGCTGTCACCAGGGCATTGTCAGAGGGTCCCAGACCACTCTGCTCCCTCAGCGGTGTGAATCCCAAGCACTGGGCTATCCCATCATTCTCCGGGTCTTGGAGAACTGTTTTTAGGGTTCCATTAAGCCAAAACTCATTCAACAGAACAGAGTTACAAACCTGAAAAATGGTGGAGGAAAAAAAAATAACCTATTCATTATTAACAATTAATCTCTGGAGGATTCTTCCAAGTCTGATTGATTTTGAAAAGCTTGAAGAAGTTCTAGGATCTACAGAGCTCATTTAGGAAGCACAACCTCTGACAAGTCTACCCCCCACTCGCCCCCCTCAGTGCCTCTCTCCCAGGTTTCCTCCCCCAAAGGCTTGCAGAGTGGGGACACCCTGACTTTGCAGCCACGCCCTCAGGGACCCACAGCACTGAGTGCTAATTCACACCCATTGCCATTTCTACACACGCATGTTCACTCCTGGTTTGCAGTTGCTGACTCACTGGCAACGGTGAATTCGGTCCCACGCACTCCCTGGGAAGCAAGCCAGCCATGCTGCCTCACACAGGGGCCTGGTCTTGCTCAGCTTGGTGCCTATGTTCAACTCAGTCACCTCTCCATCCATTTTAGGGGCATCCGACGTAGAGACACCAAATGGCCAACTGACTTTAATTGTGAGAGTAGGGCCCAACCTGGGTGATGATTTTATCCCTTTAGGAAACCTTTGAAGATGCCTGGGGACATTCCTGACAGTCGTGGTTGGGATGAGGAAACACATGTCAGCCAGTCAGTAAGGGTCAAAGATGCTGCTAAAAATTTCCATGCACAGGACAACCCCGAGGGTGGGAATTTTCTGGGCCGAATGGCAAGGATGCCAGAAACCCAGTCAAAATGGAGAGGAATTCAAAATCTCTGGGCCATGAGGGGAAAAAAAGAGAGAGAGGGGAGTGCTTTATAATGGAATGCCAACAGATCATCTCCCTTTTGTCACGTAATGAGAGGGCAGGAGAGAGAATTCAATGGCCATGTTTTTTTGAAACCTGTTATCTGCAGATACTGAAGTATATAAAATTTTCAGTGAAAATGAACTGTTAGCAAGGCTGCTTACTAAAAATCCGGGGTCTAAAATGTGTTTCTCCTGCCCTTATCCCAATGAACAGAGATAATTTCAGCTATAAATTTAATGGTATTAAAGGGGAAAAGCCAAGAAGTAGCGCTTGAGGGAGAAAAAGAAAAGATAAACAGCTTTCTGCGTCTTGATGGGTCCAGAAATGTGTCTCTGCAGAGAACGGTGGCTGTGAGGCATTATTACTGAAGACTAAAGATGAGGTTGTAAAACCGCTTACCATTTTATGGTTAGTTCTTTACCTACACTTTGGAAGACAGTTAAGACACAGCATCACAGTCCAAACGTGGTGGCGAAAACATTTTCCCGCGGTGCTGGGGAAATAAGAGTGTGTTTAGAGTTTACTTCTCTGAGTTATTTCTCCGAGATTTAACAGAATTTTTGTTGGGTGGTTGGTTGGCTTGAGTCTTTGTTTATTGTTTGTTTGTCCTGGGTTTTTGTTTGTCATTGGCTGGTTTTGTGTTTGCTTTGTTTTCTGTTTTTATTTCTGGTACTCGTCTGACAAAATGACATGAGACCATTTATCACCTCGCCGGGTCGCGAGTTGTAATTAACGGGTGCGCATTCCAGGATGGCTTTTAGCTTGGTAAATTTAACCCGCTGTCTGCAACCTGGCAGAAACACAAACGACCAAAGCTTTGTGCATATGAGGGGGCAGAGTCACCGCTGCGGTCGCCTCTTGGCCCCGGTCCCTGCCACGCTGACCTCCTCTGCTACTTTGCTTCCCAACACAGAGCTCAGCAGCCCCGCTTCGGCCCCCAGCTCGGAGAAGCAGAGCCCCATGGCCCAGCAGCACAGCCCGGTGGCCCAGCACAGCCCTCTGGCCCAGCCGAGCCTGGCCGCCCCCAACAGCCCTGTCGCCCAGCCACCTCCACCTCAGCCACTGCAACTGCAAGGACATGAAAACAGGTAAAGCTTCCTGAGACGCAGGAAACGTTTGGGGACAGCCCGGGACACAGGCCTGGAGGTTGTCATGTGGTTGAAACTGCAGCATGAACCTCCGTGTGATCCGGTGTGCGTGGAGTATGTGGTTGTGTTCGTGAGTGTAACCAAATGTCTGCCCTTGGCAACAACAGAACTTTACCAGAGAGACCATGAGCACAGCGGTTAATGAGCTCGTCAAGAGTAAAGAACATATGCTATGAGGACAGGAAATGGGAAGAGCAGAAAGGTCAAGGTTGGGTGGCCGGAGACTCGGGCGTGGTGTCAGAGGAAGGCTGTGGGTTTCCAGCGGCTCCGAGAGCGCGTTGCGGGTTTTGAGCTTTACCTTAGGTACAGGGGAAGTCACCACCCTGCAGCTTGAGCTGTTGCCTGACATCACGGAATTTGCTCTTCAAGATCTCACTGTTGCCCCGCCAGAGAGCAGACAGGGCAGAAGGGGACAGTGAGGAGGTGGCTGCAGAAACCCACTGGCCCATGAAGGTGACAGCTGGGAGTGTGAGGATGGGGGAGGATGTGGAAGGATTTGAGGGGTACCAGCAGGTTGCACCCTCCCACCTGCAGTCTAGTGAGGGCCCTCCAATCCCCACATGCAAGAAAAGAGGACATCATGGAAAGATGCCACTGTCTTCTGATTGCGACTCGTGGGTCACTGGGGGCCTGGGCTGGGCTGGGCCTTTGCAAAGATGAAAACTGGGTCCCTGTGCTGCTTCTGCTGTCAACAGGAGAAAAGCGGGAGCACCCCCACCGCACCCCTGGGTGCAGGGCCACTCCTCTCCCGGCTTCCCCTGATCCCGGAGCTTCCGGGCACCTGCTTCCTCTGTCCTGCCCCCTGTGCTGGGGAAGATGAATGAGGCTCGGAGTTTGGCTCCCACAGTTCTCTGTGTTCATCATCCACATGGTTGGGAAAACAGCCTTCCACACCTGTGTGGGCCACACAGGTGGTTTTTCTGCCAAGACCCCTCTGCTAGGGTGCTTTCAGGAAAAAGCTGGTGGTCCCCAGCTGCTTCTGTTTTTAATGAATGCCAGGGAAGAGAAAGGCCCCGTGAAGCAAACGATGCAGAGGTGGGAAGCTGATAACCCATGGGAAGAGCAAGTCCTGGCACCTCAGAAATAAGCCCAGGGTGTCTGCTTCCGCTGTGATATTCCAGCACTGGTTTCTTCAGGGTCCATCCTGCTTCCGCAGGGAGCACTTGAGAGCCCAGCAGTCCCTGTGCCACCTTCCAGCTCCTCTTCCTGCGTTAATCTTGCAATCACATGCAGGGTGCAAGAACTTCCCGTGCATGTGTGCTGCTTCTAGCTTGGGCAGGTGACCTTGTTCTTTAATGGGCAACTGCTTCATCTCCTTTGATGTGCTCTTCGGCTGGTTAAACTGCTCCTCCAGGAAAGGTTCAGAGCATGAGTGTGTGCCATGCTTCTGGGGGTGAGGGGCAGCAACAGCTCCAGAAGGCCACAGTTAGGTCCCATCTGCTGTACCTCCCCTTTGGGACACTGTGGCCCCTAACATAGAAACATTAGTCTTCAGGACTTTTTTTCCTGACCACAGAATAAAATGTGTCCTAATTCTGGGATTAACAGATCGATCTGATCCAAATTTTTTATAAATCATCAGTCTATTTGCCCAGAGTTCTCGTTTGCTTCAAGGTAACACCCTGGGAAAAGCTCATTCTGTTTCTGAGGGTTTTACAGGCCAGCACTCGGATCTCCTGTGGCTCACTCTTTGATTGTTCGTAGTAGCTCATTGGCCTAGCAGTGAAGAACTTCAGTGATCTTACAGACACCAGAAACTTCTTCGTAGCTGCGCTGAGAGATGCTCATGGGATGAGAGGAGGAACTCATGTCCTTTTCTGGATCAGGCTAGAGTTGTGTTTGAGACAGCACATGTACCAAGCACCTTTGCACAGAGCACAGCCACCTACACATCAGACCGAGCCAGTTCCCACATGGCAGCAGAGCAGAGGAAAGTGATCATCTGCTTGCAAGTTTCTATGTCCTGAGTTAGAATAAGCAGTATTTTGTCCTGTCTTTTTACTCTGGTATTAACTTCCCAGAACACACAAACCTTTCTGTCCATTTCTTGGGCTCATAACACATCCCTTGGGTATGTGCTTGAGAAACGCAAAATAATTTTACAATGAGCACAAGTAAAATGCTTCCAAGGAGAAGCATTTATTGATTTTTTTTTAAAAAATGGTCATTATGGACTATGTTCCAAAGCTAATTATAAACAGCAGAATTGACCTTCCCCAGCAAGGAAAATTGGTATTTCACTGTGAGTTAAAGTAGCCAGGGCCGGCGGAGAGGATTGGAAACTGGTTTCTTTCACAGACCTTGATGCCCAAGACCTGAAGCAGATCCTTCCTTGATGGACCACAAGATGCAGAATCCCACCTAGGCAAGGCTTCTTGGTCCTGGAATTTTTAATACCATAAAATCTTGCTAGAACTTACCTTAAGTAGTCTGCTTGGTCATCTCTGAGTCTCTTTAGTGAAGGAATGAAGAGCTGCACAAGATTGTTTTGAGAACTTTCTTCCATAAGGAAGGAGCTGTAAGGAGTTTATTTCTAATAATCTTGCTTCACAGAGTCAAAACAACATAAATTTTAGCCCAGCCGTTATGTCACTCATTTCAAAGTCAGCGACACTCAAAAAACTATCTTTTTTCTTTTTGAAGAGTTCTTCAATGTATGGTTCAATTTACAAGCCTGACACACGTCACTAATTAGGACGAAGTTGCAGTGTTTGGTGGCTTTGATAACAGCTGTTACAAGTTTCAGCTGTTCCTGTTTCTCATCATTTGTGTCTTTGGGGAGATCCTTGCATTTCACCCTCTTTTGTTATAGCCTGTGACACATCTGGTTGGAAACAGAGCACATAATGGATATTTCATACCAGTACCACACAAATCATGAAAATAAAGTGCTATGCTAGAATTTAAAGCAGTGTGACAACAAAAGCACCACCCAAGCCATTTCTAGAAAGGAACCAACACACACTGGCAAATACCACCTGGTTCGATTCCTTTTGTTTAATGCACGCATTTGCATAGCTAAGTTTCTTATTCAAAGGATATTTAAATAATTCTGTTCTCAGCACGCACCCTCTCAGTAGGTGAGTGGACTACTGAGAAATAAAGCAAAGCCCAAATTATGCAACTCTCAAAAGAAATGTCTTCCCTCTGTGGGGTGAAGCAACAAATAAGACCTCTTCAAAGAGTTGATTAAAATAACTACATTACTATCCCCTTTTCAAGAACTTCAGATAAACACAGCTATTGTCCTGTACTTTCAATGTGTCCTCACCAAATATTAGATTATGCTTACAGCAATTCTTCAGGCAAGTGCCTCTTAAAAATATTTGATACTCATCATCATAGTGAGTCTATAAAGCAGTAAAGAAACCATCTAGCCATAAAAGTAAAAATTGTACTTGTTTTGAACATTTTTTAGTAAGAGATTTGCGTTCTCCCTTAGTGCTAAATATTCTCTCAATACCTCACACCTCTATGTTAATGTTAGATGAAATTGTTATTCTATAAAATGTATTTTTTTAATCTACCCACATTCCTGGGTAGCTCATTGTATACCGTTGCCATGGTAACAGGCAGTGAAGTACGGATTTCAAAAACCTCAGCACTACAGTGATGCCTTTGCGGTTTACCTAAATAGTGACCCCTTAGTGGCAGGAATTGGCTGCATTAGTCCCGTTTGTGAACTGGGAAACCTCTCAAGCTTAGAGAAGCATGGATTCATAAGAGAGCACTGAACTAGTAATTAATGTCTACAAGCGAGAACAGACAGATGCTGGACATGAACATCTTTTACCTCCCTCTCCACCTATGACTGCAGTAGGATTTGATACTCATCTTGACAGCTAGTCTTTAAACTTCTGTGTAATATGATTTTAATTTTACTAACAGTCCAGTGGCTACTTCATTTGTAGTCCATAATTATGCTTAGTACCACTCTTTTATCTTATAAAATATTCAAAAAGATCCAATTTAGCAATTTAAGATGGCTTTTAATTAGGTACTTTTCCAGTGTTTAGAGATCATTTCAATCATGTTTTCACAGGGTAATGAAGGATCTCCCAAGGAGTAAGTGTGTGTGTGTGTGTGTGTGTAAGAGACAGAGAAAGGGGTTGAGAGAATTGGTTTACCGTTGCTAGGACAGATTAATATTTTGGAATGTGTAGTTAGTGTTTAACTTCCTAGACTTGCAAATAGACAAAGTGGAAGAGGCATATGCATGAGTCCTTTTCCACAAAGTTCTGGTTGAACCACATTTTATCTTGATGTCTTGCAGAGCCAAATGAAAGTACACAATATGGCCTTGATCACAGATGTGGAAGTGATACTTACCATTTAATCTGTTCATAATCTTAAATATGCAGCAAGATCATAAGTAGACGCATCCCCCTAGCTCTAATGGCTGGACCTGGCCTAGAGATCATAAGATCATTCTGGCCTCCTTAGAACGCTGAGGAGCCAAAGCAAACCCCCTTTCCATTTGTTTAGTTACAGGTCAGAAGTAAAAGCAAGACAAGATGTGAAGCCAGACATCCGACAGCCTCCATTCACAGACTACCGGCAGCCCCCGCTGGACTACAGGCAGCCCCCAGGAGGGGACTACCAGCAGCCCCCGCCCCTGGACCACAGGCAGCCCCCCCTGCTGGACTACCGACAGCACTCCCCCGACACCAGGCAGTACCCGCTGCCGGACTACAGGCAGCCCCAGGTACCTGGGCCGGCATAGGGTCTGCCAGGCCAAGACTTCCTGAAAGGCAAGGAGAGGAACAGGAGGGGACAGAAAAGGTGCCCTTCCGGGTCAGACAGCCGCAGCTCTGTGCCTAACCCTGTGTTACCAGCTGCACTGGATAAATAACTGTCTGGGGATATAGCGCAGCAATCCAGCCATCCACCCTTCTACCCATCCATCAGTGGCAGGTGGCAGTCATGGGATGAACTAAGCCCCGCTGGTGTTAAGTAGCCAATTCCCAGTGCATCACCTTATCAAAGTTTTTAAAATGCTCTTATAGGGATAAGGCTGTCACTCAGTGATCAGGAGCTTGTTTAGCATACACAAAGCCCTGGAGTCAATATCCAGCACTAAAGAAGAAAGCAGAAATAACTCCCACCTGGAGAACAGTGGCATTTGGCAGCAGTGGAGATCTGTAGGTCACTAACTATTTCTCCTACCCATTCTAGAGGTAAAGAGCAAGCCTCCTACCTCCACGCTGAGGATGCAGCCAGGCCTTACATTATAAATTAAAACTCACCTTTATCCCCAAGGAATCTAAGGACAGTGAAGGTGAGGCAAATCTAGGCACACTGCCTTTCAGAAAGAAAGAGAAACCGGTTTTGTATATACTTCAACTTGCTATTCAATGGAAGACCCAGATCAGCAGGCAACTGAGACAGTCAGACGCCATTAAGTTTCACACTTCGTTTTAGCAAGCTGTGTAATTTACACACACACACAGTTCAGTTCTCAAAGTTGTGAATGAGAAACTCAGAGGAGGAGTCGTCACTCAGGAGGCACATACTCGCTCTGGCAGGGGAGGAGAACGGGCAAGTGGACCAGGCAGTTTCTCTAATTCCATCCCGTTTTCTCCCCTCTCCGGAAGGATTTTGATTATTTCACGGTGGACATGGAGAAAGGTGCCAAAGGATTCGGATTCAGCATCCGTGGAGGAAGGGAATATAAGATGGATCTGTACGTGTTGAGACTGGCGGAGGATGGGCCAGCAATCAGGAACGGGAGGATGAGGGTAAGAGCAGTCGCTTCTTATGGAATCGCCCTGTTCTGAGTGGAAACCCCACTGAGGTTCTGGAACAGCTCTGAAGCCGCCACCTGCCAGGGAGCAGGATGCAGGGTTTGCTTTCTCCCGTGTCAGGACCCCGCTCTTTAAAGGTTTGTCCAGAAACTCTCCTAAAAATGTCTGTCTTCGTCCTCCTGATGACCTTCTATTGATAAAGCTAAAAATTGTTTGTTTGTTTGTTTATAAGGAACAAACTAAATGGAATGGACAGAGTGAAGAAACATATGAAAGAGCCTGAAATGGAGACTGGGCTCCCTAACTTTGTTCTTTTCCTGTGGTTTGATGGTTCCTTTAATTGAGATTGAATATTTCAAAGTTTATTTTCCATGTCCTGCTTTCTTCCTGTGTTTATTCATCGAATAGTCCTGTGTTTCTTTGGAAATACTTCTTCCGGGTTGACCAGTCTTTTGGTTTTCATATTAAGCAGACAAAAGCTGTGGGAGAAAAAAAGAATCAGGGTTCTTGGATAAGAGTTGTCCTTAAAAATAACAGCAATTAGAAACTTTGCAGTTGGAGGGTATGCTGGGGTGAATATTTTAGTGTCGTAATTTCTTTGAAGCATGTGACTACTGAAATAGTTGATTCTTCATCTCAAAGTATAAAATTGGTAATCCAGAACATTAAACAATTTCTCTCCTCTCCTCTCCCTCTCTATCTCTGTGTCTCTCTGTCTCTCTGTGTCTGTCGATCTGTCTGTCTCTCTTTTTCTCTCAAATGGCAACAAGTAAGCCCCTATAGAGGTCGTTACTGTTATAAGTGAAATCTTCAATCTGTTCTTGCCTCCCTCCTTGCTCTGTAAGTTAACACAGGAAAGCTGTGGCTTTGGGCTTCTAGAATCACTAAGGCTCATGCTCAGCCTCTCTGGCCTATTGTTCTTAGGCCTATTGTTCTTAGAAACAATGCTATTTCTACTCTGCCCCTGCCATTTCTAGGATTCTCACTCCCAAGTCCAAGAATCCTCCAGAGCACAGAAGTGGGGAGAATTCCCATCACACCTACTCCTCTCCTCTCCACTCAGTCCTCTGCCAGCAGGCAGGTACTGGGGATGCATTCTGAGCCCAGGCAAACAGCCTCCAGAGGCTGGTGGCCCCAGCCCTGTCCCCACTGCCCATCTCATCCTCTAGATGTGTGTTTAAGGTGCTGACATAGATAAATATTCTTGCATGGAAAGATCACTCTTTCAAACAGAATTTAAGCGAGAACAGTGCTTCTCAGCACCGCCCACGGCATCTGCACTCCCAGATTCTATAGCCCCATGGAGATACCGGAGTCAGAAACAGTCATCAGGGCCCCAGGCTGTGTTTTAAGAATCCCTCCAGTTGAGTCTGCTGCAAGCTGAAGTCGGGGGCCACTCAGCTAGAGGGAGCTGTCATGACACAGGCATGGTGCAGGTAGTATATACATGGCTCAGATTTTTCTAATCCTCCTTAAATCCAAGCCTAGGGAGATTTCCATGCTGTTCTAGGGATTTTCCAGAGGTCCTAAGACCTGTAAGCACAGGTTTACAATTCTGTAGTCTGGTCCTCAGTTTTAAGAATGATGCTCATTGGGGGCTGGGGATTTAGCTCAGCGGCATAAGCGCCTGCCTTGCAAGCACCTGGTCATGAGTTCAATCCCCTGAACCGATAAAAACAAACAAACAAAGAATGATGCTCATTTCCTGGCAGGTGATAACAATCAGTCTTCTACTTGAGTTTCAGAAAATGGTATTTTTCGCGTTGGTCAAAGATTATTAACATGAACAATATCTCATCATTTTTCATGCCATTTTTATAAAGCAGCCAATCCTTTATGTGTTCCAGCTGCCCAAAAGAAATTATTATGGCCAGTTATAGTGAACGTGGGTTAGTTTATCTTGGACTAATATATATGGCATTTGATGCTCAAAGAAGACGAGAGTCACAGAAATTTCATGAATCAGATTTAACCGGTTGGTTTTTATCACTGATCTTTAAGATAAGGCTAGGAGCTTGGCAGGGAAGACGGAAGGCTTTTTCTGCTATTTATGGACTGTGGTTGATATTCAAGCGATGGAAGTTTTCACACTCAGGAGTTCTGTTCTTATGGCTCCAGCAGAGGAGTTATCAGCAGTGTCAGTGGGAGGAGCTACTTCATGATGCAAGCCGGACAGGCTGGTAGTTATCCGTTCTCAGAATTACACAGCACTGGGGATCTGTAAAGTGAAATATCAACCATTGCTCTTTGCTCACAGTATGTAATTAATTCAGATTTTAGTTTTTAATTAATTTCATTAGTACATTGTTGATATACATGATTGCAGTCATTGTAGAGAAATGCACCTGTACACGGTATATCTTGCCCTCTCCTCCTTTCAATCCCTCTTCCCTCCTTATTTACAAAAGCTTGGTTTCCATTTTTTCCTTCTGTTCTTGTTTTTCTGTCCCTTCCTTCCTTTCTCTTCTCACTCTAGTTCTTTTTCCCTTTTGAACATTTATTCCCTATTTCATAATCTTTATTATACATCTTGGTCCTTATTTATCCTTTTGGTTTCTCACACTAGAGAAACAATGTGGTATTCAAACATGTGTGTCTGGTCTGTTTCACCTGAGAGTATGGTCTCAAGGTCCATCCATTTATCTAAAAGTGTGTCTCTGGTATGAAAAACAGATATTATTTTTATGTTCATTATATTTGATCATTTAAAGCTTGTCTTTCTATCTTCATTTGGGCATACCAAAAATTTATAATAATTCACAGATACGTTTAAATTTTTTAGCAAGGACTAAGATTTATCAGCATTTGTATGATTTAATGGTTTGATTATCATACAGTAATAAAGTATAATAAAGTAATACATAAACTGGATAACTAATAGGTTACCTCTTTAGAAAATCCACAGTGAAAATAGAGACCATTTCTTGTTTTATTGTAAGGTTCTCCCTTGACACTACTGGTGTCCAGATACATATAAGTCTAACATCTACAGAAGATGTTTTCTAAGGCAGCTGTTTACTCCATGGGTATGGACTGGTCTGTAAATTTCCAAGACAACTAGGTTTGCTATGTATTAACAGAATGACATTAAAAATTAGCTCAAGAGAAATGATCACCAAGTTGTTTCCAGCTTTGAAATAGTCATTTTTCTCTTGTTAGCATTGATTCGAATCAATCCTTTATTTCTTCTGTGCAAAAACTAAACACACAAAGGCCAGGGCTGGAACTGGGACTCAGCATATTTTTCTCTCTCTATCTCATGATCAGGAATAGAAGGAAAAAACCAGGTATGCAGTCTACCTAAGATTAAACCCAGTGCCGTAAAATTGTTCAAGTCATGGTTGCTATAAAAAACCTAGGTGATTCTGAAAAATCATTTCAAGTAACAATGAATGAATTACTGTGCTTTTGTGTTCAGTATATAAATAATGCTACTTTTGAACACTTTGCTAGTGTGCCAAATGCTAGGCTCTGAGCTTGAGACTTTTCCTGAGTCTTTTATGTGTGTTTGGTTGTACGAAATGGTGAGACAGGGCTTTGCTAAGAACACAGTGAAACTTGAGGGCAGCAGATGCCAGAGGGTAGCTAATATCCTTCTCTTACCAGGAAGCCTGAGAACCTGGGGAGCAGATCATCTCCAAAGCTTGTCCTTAGGCATATGACTTAGCTACCTTTCTCATTGTTTGGACAAAACACCCAACACCCAAAGTTAAAGGAAAGTAGGTTTATTTAGTTCACACTTCATAGAAGTTTTAGCCCATAATCGGCTGGCTCCAAGGCAGTGTAGCATGGCAGAGAACAGTTCATGGTGCCCACAAGGCAGCAAAAACAGCAAGGGGGAAGAGACAAGACTCTTTCTGTCCCATATATTTTATGCAGGCTACCTACCGTAGGGTAAGTGTAGCACACCCTTAATCCTAGCCAGAACTGTGCCAATCCAGTCAGTGCACTAAGTAATCACACACCCTTAATCCCAGCATCACACTCTCTAGATTCTGAAAAGCCCCATGACCAAATGAGGCTTTGAGGGGGTGGGGGGGGCATCTATACACAAACCATAACAGCATCCAAATGTTATCCAAGAAAAATGCATGTGATCTTCCCACCCAGCGTGCTCTGGTGGATCAAATGAGCATCAGACCCCAGATGATTGGTCTTACTCTGGCTTCACTGCTTTTCTTTCTCTCTGGTTCCTGGATGCTGATAGCAAGAAAGAATTATTTGAGCAGAAATCTTCAACAAATTGGATGGCCTGCCTTTCATACTGAATACTAAATACTCCCACCAAAGTTACTATTTTCATCTCTTCCAAAAACATGGTGTTTACACGTGTGAGAGAGACAGAGACATTCTTTCTGCTTGATGGAGGATGCCAGGTCAGCCAAGAATCCAAGTACAAGGTCTAATGGTTTTGTCAAAGGATGAGAATGCAGCTAACTGAGTTGAGAAGCTGGTGAGGACTGTTGCTCCGGAGAGTCAGATTTACCAGCCCAAGGCCCACCCAGGCGAGGATGGGAGAAACTTTTTTTTTTCAGGAGACCAGCTCAGTGTCTATTTAAGGTTCCAGAATCCCTCGTATCACAAACATAACATTAACTAAAGAAAGGAATCTGAAGGTTTACCAAGAATGCTACTATTTTATGTTTTTCAGATCCTCAGCTCTGCAGTCAACCTCCAAAACACCAAACTTGAAATTAGAAGCACACTGTCACTTTGCTGGGCTCCAACTGCCTGACAAATGGGAATAACATTGCATACTTTTCACAGTTGTCAGAGAGCACAATATGTCAGGAGGTGTTATATATTTGTATTAAGACAAAAGGATGAGGTATTAGTTTAGGGCAAGAGAGAGACTAATGTTAAGGTAGGTCATGGAATAAAGTTTGAGGGGGTAAAATAGTGTAGATAGAATAAACACCAAGAAAACCCATGTGAGTCAGAAAATATTTACTTTATCAAAACACAAATAGAAAGTAGCAAGTTTTGATTTTAAT